CCCGCCCCTGCCGCGGGTGTTTGTGGCGGCGCAGTCCCGCGCGCCCCCGCGCGCCGGCGGCGCCGCCGGGCTTCTGCAGAAGCAGCCGCCGCCGCCGCCGCTGTTCCACGAGGCCGCCGTGTGGCTGCGCGGCTTCCCCGGCCCCCACACCGTGCTCTTCACCAGCAACCGCCTGGGCGACCTCTCCACCCCAAACCAGAGCGTGTCCCTCACCCTCGTCGACCCGACCGGCGCTGCCGCCCCAAAGCCGGTCCTGCGGCCGTCCCCGCCCGACGCCGCGCCAATGGCCAACGGCGGCACGCTCGTCCCCGGCACCGGCGGCGCCGTCGTGCTGATCGACTACCAAGGGCAGGGCCGGCGCGGCGGCGGGCTGGCGGCGCTCAATGTTGCGACCGGCGAGGTCAAGGACGTTGTGTCGCGCGTCGGCGCCGGCGGCGGGCGCTTCTCCTCACCCAACGACGTCGTCATTGTCCCCCTGCCTTCCAGGGCGCAGCCCGCGGGCGCAAACGCGACGAGCGGGCGCTACGCGGTGGCGCTGTTTTCGGACCCCGCATACGGCTTCGACCAGCAGTTCAGGACGGGCGAGCCCGACGTGGGCGAGTATGTATGGGCGGTGACCCTCCGCCTTCCGCCGACGCCCGGGCCCGGCCCGGCCGCGGCCTCGGCCGCCCGGCGTCGCTGGTGGCCCGAGGCGGTGGGGCCGGCGCGGGTGGTGGCCGGCGGGTTTGTGCGGCCGAACGGGCTGGCGATATCCCCGGACCGCCGCACGGCATACATCTCAGACACCGGTTATGTCAGCGGGGGCGGCACCGTCTCCAACGGCCTGATAGACACTGCGATGGCGGGGCCGCCGCTGAGGACCTGGAGCAGCCGGCCGGCCGCGGTCTACGCGTTTGACCTGGTCTTTGCTGGTGCCTCGCCCCCGAGCGTCGTCCTGGACAACAGGCGGATGTTTGCCGTCGCCGACGTCGGCGCGCCCGACGGGCTGCACTGCGACGCCGACGGGCGGCTCTGGAGCGGAGAGGGGGACGGCGTCTCGGCGTACGAGCCCGACACCGGCCGCCTGCTGCTGCGCGTGCGGCCGGGGGCCGGCGGCGGCGCGCGCGCGGAGGGGGTCGCGAACTTTGCGATCGTCGGGGGCGGGGCGGGCGGGGGAGGGCTACTGGTGATGGGCCAAGAGCAGGCGGCGACAGCGGTGCGGCTGCCGGGGCTGCGGGCGTTCAACATTGACTCGTGGCTGGACTAATCGCACACATGAGAGCAGTTCCTGCCATCAGGCAATGGTATGCACAATATGGGTGCAGCACCGCTTGGCTGTGCACGACCCTTTTCAAAATAGCTTCGCTCAGCACACTGCGGCTTAGCTTTGGCACAGCTAAACCCTAAACCCTCGGCACCCACCTGGTCTTGTCTTGTCACTGTACACCACAGCCCTGCTGCTTCGACGCAATAGCTCGCCTTGCTTGCCCACCATCGCAACCCAACCATGATGTTAGTGGGCCGGCCCTTGTTCTTGGCTCGTGGGGATGTGTCTCCAGACCATGCTGCCGGCGGTCCCGAGGCGAGCAGGGGCCCTCACGCACGTGTGGCGGTGACGGTGCGGTGCGGGACGGGGAGCATGTCCGTGTACAGTTGTGGCGCTGCACTTGTATACGGTCGCCACGTTTTTGCAACAGCTGTGCTCATTGTCATCCAGCCAGCTGCATTTCGTTTTTTTGGCAGGACTGTTCTGCCTGGCTTGCTAAGACCTAACCTGAGTCGCTGACGTTGCGCTCTGCTTGCTTTGAAGCAGCGTTCACGTGGCACGCAGCAGCGACGGCCCTGTTCCACTCCCAAGTGCACATACTCCCCAGCAGGGTCGATTAAGGCAGCTGAGTTAGATGCTGAGCGCTCCCCAGCCTGTTATAGCGAAACGATCAGGTGAGCATTGGCGATGTAACCTGTGGTTGCATATTTTACAGACACATACATATTAGGGTGACTCATGACATCCAAAAGAGAAAGTCTGAGTCAACGGCAGAGCCACGAACTGCGAGCAGCAGCCTCCACGCGCAACCAAGGCTCCTGCAGAATATCTGGGATACAGGACTGGAGTTCCCATTATCTTCACTTTTCATAATGTTTCCTATCCAATCAGCGTTGATCACGTGAGTGGGTGCGTGGGTGTGTGCGTCGCAGTGACGCTGCTCTCAAGTGAGTCAGGTGTGCGGGTTTGTGACGCGTGGTGATGCGGCACAAACGCATGATGCAAGCATGGATTTGATGCGGCATAGCAATGACGATGGCAGAGGTAAATGCTCCGCTCCACTGCACGGGCCCGGGCCCGTGCGCATAGCGGCAATAGGGGAGAGATTGCAGGCAAAACCGGCGGCGCCCACGCTTTCAAAAATCTCGCGGCAAGGTCTGCGCCAGAAAAAAGTCAACCACCGAGGTCAGCAGTCGCAGCGGCCGTTGCATGAGACGTTGGTTAAGACGTTGGTCAGTCAGCTTGAAACGGCTCAGAGCAGCTTGCATCAGCTCAGACGGGGTCAGCTTGGCGAAACCAGATCATACATCCTGGCTACTTCCTCTCAGTGCCCTGCCCCGTGGTGTCGGTCCAGTTGGTGCCAGTGCTGGGTGTGCCCGGGTCCGAGTCGTCCTTCAGGCGCTTGGTGGTCTCACGCACCTTGGATTCATTTGTTTGTGCGTTGGACGGACGCGAGGATCAGCAGCGGCATGGGTTGAGCGGGCGGTGGGAGTTACGACGCCGCCCGGGCAGGGGGGCCGGCCGCAGGCTCGTGCCATACAGTTGCAATTCAGCCGATGCCTTTGTGGACCCCACAGGGCGCTGCTCTACAAGATTTGCGGTGCAGCCCCACCTGGGACCACGTCTCCTGGAACTGAGCCCAAAACTTGGCCCTCTCCTCCTTCTGGGGGCCCCTGCTGCTGCTCGTCATGCTCGACAAGGGCCCGCTGGCGCCCGCCGCCGACGCCGCGGCCGCCGCTGACGACGCGGCCCCCGCAGAGCCCGCCGAGGACGCCGCGACCCCCGCCCCCAACGTCGCCGCCGCCGCGGCGCCGGCGGCCGGCGTGCGCGCCGATAGCGTGCGCGCCGACGGCGTGCGCGCCGCGACGGGCGACACCGGCAGCGAGGGCTCGTACAAGGTCGCGGGGGCGTGCCGGCTGATGGGCAGCTCCGCGGCGCCGGCGGCGGGCTCGGGGCCGGGGGCCTTGTAGCCAGGCGGGGGGTCCACTCCCTTGGTGCTGCGGAGGGTCGGGCCAGGCGGGGTGCCCACGGCGACCGAGGCTGGGTCGAATGTCTCCTTTTCAGAGGGGTCGAGTTGAGGTTGCGGCGGTCAAAGGTTGCAGTGGCGGTCAAAGATTGCGGTGGCGGTAAAAGGTTGCACGGGCGGTCAACGATTGCACCTGCGGTCAAAGATTGCACTGGCTGGCCTCTAGGTGCAAGGAAGGGGCCTAGAAACGCATGAAGGTCATAGGACCGCAGCTGGAACCCAGTGAGCATAATCAAGCCAAGGGGGTTTGCGGCAGGCCTTGTATCACCCCACAGCGTTCAGAGGCCAGGCCGCCGGGCCCCACACAGAGCCCCTGCCCCGTCTTGGCGCGCACCGTCTTGGCGAGCCGCCTGACCCTGCGCTCGCGCCGCCGCTTGAGCAGGATGGCGGCCAGGACGATGAGGGCGATCACCAACAGGCTGCCCACGATGATGGGGGCCAGCGCCCACAGGGGGAAGCTGCTGCCTTGCGGGGCGCCTGCGCGCGGGCGTGCCGTGAAGAGCGGTGGAGCGTGTGCGAGCGTCAATGAGGAACAGAGCACTGGCAAGGCTTGAGACTGGCGGCGGGCCTCCCGCGTTGATGTCAACCCAAGCTTCCTGTTTGCTTCCCCTTTGGGACACGTGCCGTGACCCAGCGGGGCCGGGCCCAAGGCCCCGGCCCAAGCGATTACGCAGACATATCCCACATCCTCCCACGCGGCAGACCCCTTCTGCGCCCCCTCCGCGCGGACCAACCGCCCCCCTCACGCTTGAAGACGGGCCTCAGCTGCAGCGTCGGCCGGTGCGTCACGCCGTTGGCGGCCAGCTCCTTGCTCAAGCTCCCGTCCGCCGCCGCCGCCGTGATCCGCGCAGCGACCGCGTCCGGCTGCGGCGTGGTCAACCAGTAGACTGCCTCCACGCTGCCGTCCGACGGCGCAGCGGCGAGCAAGCGGCGCGTGGCGGCGCCGGCGGCGGCTGGGGCGGCTGGGGCGGCTGGGGCGGCGGGGGCCGCGGGGCGGACGTCCAGCAGCGAGACCGACGGGGCGGGGACGCCCGCGGCCGCGGAGAGGGCCGCGGCGATGCCGGAGGTGAGTTTCGGGGTCCATTCGTCAAAGCCCAGGCCGGAGAACGAGAGGTTTGCCTGCAGGGCGGCGGGCGCGCGGGTGTGTGTGTGCCGCGACGTCGGAGTGTGACGACGTCGCGTGGGCAATGGCTGGTGGCGGGGGATGGGCAAGCTCGCGCGCGCGCTGCAGCCTCGGTCGCAAGCAGCTCCTTGCCCTTGAAATTCACCGCGCAAGGGGCCCTCACGCACGCTCGCCGCACCCTGCGCCGCGCCGCCGACAGCCCTCGACCGATACTACACCCAACAAAGCGTTCCAACAACACCAGACACGTGCGTGTCAAACAATTGAGCGCGCACCAGAACGCCGTCCTTGTCAGGGACCGCCACCGGGCAGCTGGCGCGGCCAAAAGCGACCGCAGCGGCGGGGTCGGACCCAGGCTGGAAGGGCGCGCAGAGCTTGTCCTGCTTTATGCAGAGGTTGAGGCGTGCCTTGGCGCAGTCGTTGGAGTTGGGGTCCTGCGGGAGGATTGAGGGTGCAAGGCAGGGAGAACGGGTGTTCTGGGGGGCGCAGGTGGGCGATGATGTCAGAGGGCTGGAGTAGGCTTGCGCCCCGCGCAACTTCAGGTGGTCATTGACTTGGGGCATTTGCAGGTGTGAAAGAGACGCACGCCGGCCAAACTCAAGCACTAAAGCAAGGCGCAGTGGCTCACGCACATGTTGGCATGTTCAGAAACACACACGTGCACGCACACATGTGCGCGCGCATGCACACACGTGCGTGCGCACGCACACACGTGCGCGCGCATGCACACACGTGCGCGCGCACGCACAGCCGTGCATACACATACACACACGCACGCGTGCCCACCCGGTAGCACTGGCACGGCGACACATCCAGGCCCTGCCCCTCAAAGCACTGCCCCGCCAGGAACGACGCCAACACCGCCGCCGCCGTCGAGTTGGTGGCCGCCTTGGGCGCGGCCTCGCACGCGACCTTTGCCTCCTTGTCGCCGCCCTTCTCCTTGCAGCGCGCGTCGAGCGCCTCGGTGCACTCCTTTGACGCAAACCCTTGCAGCGCGCAGGCACAGACCGGCGCGCTGCTGATGGCCGCGCCTGCCGCCTTGGCCGCCGGCGAGGGGGAGGCGGCCGCACCCTCTGCATACTTGGAGGGGGCATCCTTGGCGGCAACGTCCTTGGCGGCGGCGTCCTTGGCGCCAGGGGCCGGGTGCTGCTTGGCCGCGTGGCCGGGTTCGTCTGTGGCCTTGTGCCCAGCAGCGTGCATCTGCGACTTTTGAGCCTCGCCAGGTGACGGCTCTTTGGGGGGCGGGCTGGGCTGGGCTGCGGGTGCTGGCGCCGCCGGCGTCGGCGCCGGCGCCTGGGCCGGCGCGGGCGCGGGCGGCGGAGAGGGCGCCGCGGCGGGCGGGGAAGGGGGCGGCAGCGTGGGCGAG